ATACAATAAGATAAATATATAATAAGAAGTGACAAATAAATATGGTTTTAAATAATTAATTAATATAACATGTAAATTATAAAATTACTGTATTTGAAATTGTTATAAATAAGAAGTGACAAATAAATATGGTTTTAAATAATTGATTAATATAACATTTAAGTTATAAAATTATTTTATTTGACATAGTTATATAAAAATTTAAGTATATGATTAATGTTAAAAATATATACTACTTATGTATAAACTAAATATTTATTTATAAAAGTGAAAACAAACAGGATCAAAATCTACCAACACTTAAACGAATTAAAATGGTCTCAGTTCCAAAATTGTTATTCAATAATCAGCTTCAAAGAAAAATCATAAATCTATAATAATACTTTGAAGTACATTATCGAAAATTTGTTGGTTCTGATGCATTTACTTATGATGAAATCTGATCATTTTAAACTATGTTGAAAGTCATGTACACAAGTAATATTATTAAATTTACAAAATATATTTGATAGTAACCTATCAATCATTTTGTTGTAATAAGTACTATTATTTTTAGTTTCACATAATAAACATATTTAACAATAAACAAACCTTTCTGTAAAATTTTAAAATTAAATTCCTATTTTTATCAATAAACTAAGCAAAAACAATGAAAATATTAAGTTAAACTAGTCAAATAAAGTAATAAACAAATCTCCCCAGTTTAATGTAATAGCTTACATACAAATATATGATTAAATTTAAAAAGTAAATTTACCATCAAGACATGGTTAAATGATTACTTATTCAATATTTGAAACAAAAATCTTTTATAACACCACTATTAATGTTACTAGGGGGTATAGCCTTCACACAAGCGCGGAGTCGGGGACATAGTTGATGTATTCTATAATTTTATTATATCTTTTGACGTTGACATATAAGCTGAACCGATATGGCGTGTGATAGACTTTCGTATTTGTTAATAAAGTTTTAAAAAATCATATATATGGGCAACCAATATGCAGTTTTAATAACTGCTAAAGGTTTTTCTCAATTTGCCATTTTTCGAGAAGATGTAATAAAATTTAACTAGAAGAAAAATCGATGAGAGAATCAGAGATGAAAGGTTTCTCCGTTTAAATGAGTATATGTTATGTGGAATGCATGAGGTGTTACGAACTTGGTCCATTATCAGTTAACAGAATAAAAATGGGAGAAGTAGAGGTAGAGTAAGAGAAACTGATTTATGGAAGCATAAATAGTCACTATGTGTTTAGATTAGTCTGAAGTCATGTTCGAAATGATGTTAGGTATTAGTCGAACGGATGATAAAAGCTTAATGAATTAATATTTTATTTTATTTATAAAACAACGTAGATATTACAATCTAGTTTTCGTAATATGTTGCAAGTTCCATAGTAATCTGGTGATAAAACTTTGTTTGAAGAGTAAGTAATCTGATATAGGCATACGTAGATATCTTCTGGAGTGCGAAAACTGTACTATTATTATAGATTTGCTTCAGAAGAAGAAGAACAAAATAATACAAATCAAATAATCTTGAAGCATTAATAGAATCACATAGTATAAAGATCAAGATTAAATTGGACAACACTAAAATTAAAACAAAAATCAAGCTATCTTAATCTACTTTAATGTTGTAGACATTTTCTGCTTTATTATTTCTAAATTATGTAATTTTATTAAAAACAAACATCGACAAACTATCTATACTATTTTGCGAAGTGATTTTTCGCAACGGAGCTCTCACGTTAAAAGTTAGAGAGGCGAATATCGATTATACCCTTAATGAATAAAATATATAAATCAGCTAAAAATAAAAATGAATTTAATATTTATTTGATTAAATAAATGATTTAAATTAATAATAACGATAAGAATTATCCATAATCTAAATATATATTTAAAAATAAAATAAAAAGATAATTCTTATATATATTGTGTTGTTATCCGGAAAATATATTTTTGATAAAAAAATTCAAAAACAGAAAACACATAAATAAATATTTATAAAGTAAAAATTTTAATTGTATATAATTCAAAAGAGAAAATTGAAAAAAGTATAATATATAATTATTTTCAAATTCAAATAATATAATAATATAATATAATGATATATATTCGTGAAGTTATTTATCACCTCTCAACTCGCACGTTAAATTAAATTTATGTTTATATTTTCTATAGTTAAATCTTAAACATGAATTAATTATATAAAATAAAATATTATTCAAAAAGAAAGAAAATACGTGTTTGACAAAAATAAATTCAAATATATTGTATTATTATCCAAACTAATTTTATTCTTTCTGTAAGATCAATTTTTGAATGTATATTTATCCGTTCAATTTTTTAAAATTGAAAGATCGATTTCTATATTTTTATCTATTAAGAAGAAATGAAACAGCTTTAAATTTTTCAAAATTTTAAAGGAAAGCATAGATTTTGTTTTTAATTTGTGAATAACTTTATCAATATAAAAAAAGTTTAATGTTTTAGGTCGAATTATTTGGATGCAAATAATCATTTATTTTGATATTTTTTAAATTGACTTAAATATAATTAAATCCGTGCGGGCAAAACACCTAATTGAAAAAATCAAACAAACAAAAACACTTATTTTCAATGTTGGGAAATGCGACATTAAAAATCTCTATAATATTATTTGAAAAGTCAGTTTCCTACGTGTCGTGCTCACGTTAACTCTCACGATGGTTGATTACATAGATACCCTTAATGATTTGTTAGATTTTAAGATTATTATTTTTTATTTAGTTTTTTTTTACCTTTTTCCAAATAACATATACAATAAAAAGGAAATATTTCTAAAATTTTAAAACAAAATTTAAAAACTAAATATATGTATATAATATGACTTTATTAAAACGGAAAGTTCACAAAATAGGAATACCCCATTAATATATATTTTAAAATAACATAAAATATATTTTCAAAATAATAAAAATATATATGTTCATGAACATCCAAAAACTTATCAGTTCACTTTATTTTCTAATATTTTTTAGAAATCAACATATAATTTGATAAATATTATGAAAATACATGTATATTTAAGCGATAACTAAAACTAATTTGATTTGACTTAACTAAAATAAATAGTAAATAAATATTATGAAATACATGTATATTTAAGCGATAAATAAAACTAATTTGATTTAACTTAACTAAAATAAAAAGTAATTATTCTTCAATTTTAATTTAAAAATATATGATATTCAATATACTCACAAAATGAATGACTCGGCTAATCTAATTTATATTCAAAATTAATCAACTAACTACAATAAGAACATATAGTTTTATAATAATAATATTAATAATCTATTTAGTTTTATACATATAAACTAGAGGTTGACCCAAAGCATATTAAAAAGAAAAAGAAAATATTAACCAATTACAATTTAATTCTTTTTAGAATTTATATATATGCATGCAACTTCAAAATATTATCATTATATTCATTTATGTAATTTTGAATTAAACACTTCAGCTTATTATTTATTTCATTTTAAGAAAAAAATATATATATATATATATATATATATATATATTAATTTATACATAATTCAACTATAATATATTTACATATCTAAGAATATATTTACATATATAAAGACAATAACCATCCGAAATGAAAATAAGAAAATTAATCAAAGTTATATTATATTTAGAATAAAAAATATTATAGCTGAATTCAAAAAATAAATATTATCTAATATACCAAATTGATAACCAAACCGACTATTGATAAAAAAAAAATTAAACCGGTAATAATATATCCAAAGTCATATGTATAATTAGAATAATATAATATTTATTAATATAAATTATACATATAAATTGATTAAAAACTAAAACTAAATACCAATCAATTATTTATTTCATTTAAGCACAATATATATTAAGTTATACACAATTTAACTATCATATATTTACATATCTAAGAATATAGTTACNCAAAGTCATATGTATAATTAGAATAATATAATATTTATTAATATAAATTATACATATAAATTGATTAAAAACTAAAACTAAATACCAATCAATTATTTATTTCATTTAAGCACAATATATATTAAGTTATACACAATTTAACTATCATATATTTACATATCTAAGAATATAGTTACATAAAGACAATAACCAACCGAAAAGAAAATAAAGAAATTAATCAAAGTTTTATTATATTTAGAATAAAAGATATTATAGCTGAATTCGAAAAATAGATATTATCCAATATACCAAATTGATAACCAAACCAACTATTGATCCGAAAAATAATTACACCGATAATAATATATCCAAAGTCATATGTATAATAAGAATAATATAATATTTATTAATATAAATTATACATATTAATTGATTCAAAACTAAAACTAAATACCAATCAATTATTATAAAATTTTACTTTTATGAATATTCTTACCCGTGCATGAGCACGGGAAAATCACCTAGTAATAATTAATTAGATATAAAATAACATAGACTAATTTTCTTTTGAGCAAAATAAAATAAACTAATTAAAGATTGTATAATTTTCTAATTTTAAGTACGATGCACGGAAAAAAAATCTAGTTAATTTACAAAAACAGGTTGATTCAATGAGATCAACACAACAAACACTTTAACCTTTCTATCCGACCTGATGCTGGTCCACGGATAGTTTTGCTGGAGGAACTTTCCAGGTTTACTCAGATTGCTATAAGGTAAATTACAGCTTATTATTTTAGACTAACTTAATCAGCATCGTTAATTTGATCTGTTACTATCATCGGTGATAGCGAAACGTGAAGGTAGTCAAGCACCAAAGTCTTCTAATAATTTTGCACCATGGATTTTTGATGGAGTTGAACTTATCATGACAAATCTTCCCTTGACGAAAAAAAAACTGACTTTTCTACACTCTCTCCACACTATAAATCGACTTAGTTTCTCATGAATATCTTAAAACAAAGCAAAAATAAACTGTAAGAAAAATTACAGAGACATGTACGTGAAGCTCCTCACCATTGTCTTCTTCAGTCTACTCTCTCAACTCCCAAAATCTTCTTCCCAAGTTATTGACTTCACTTACAATGGTTTCCGTCCTCCATTGACTGACATATCCCTCCAAGGGATCGCCACAGCCACCCGCAAGGGTCTCTTGAAGCTAACCAACTACACCGTGCAGAAAACGGGACACGCCTTCTACACCAAACCAATCCGTTTCAAAGATTCTCCAAACGGCACCGTTTCTTCCTTCTCCACAACTTTCATCTTCGCTATTCATTCTGAGATCCCGATACTTAGTGGCCACGGCATAGCTTTCGTCATTGCTCCTAACGCAAGTCTCCCTAATGCAACATCAGGTCAATACATGGGTGTCTTCAGCATCGCAAACAACGGTAATGACACAAATCATGTCTTTGCTGTCGAACTGGATACCATCCGGAGTAGCGAGTTCAATGATACGGACGATAACCATGTCGGAATCGATATAAATAGCTTAAAGTCAGTGAAAAGTTCGCATGCTGGGTACTGGGACAAGAAAGGTCAGTTTAAGAATATGACTTTGATCAGTCGCAGACGGATGCAAGTTTGGGTTGATTATGATGGTCAAACCCATCAAATCGATGTAACAATGGCCCCTTTCAAACATAATAAACCAAAAAAAGCTCTTCTTTCTTCTGTCAGAGATCTATCTTCGGTTTTTTTGCAAGATATGTTCGTAGGTTTCTCGTCTGCGACCGGCTCTGTCCTGTCGGAACATTATGTTCTTGGGTGGAGTTTCCAGGTGAAGGGGAATGCTCCGGCTTTGGCTTTATCAAAACTTCCAAAACTTCCAAACTTTACGAGAGGGCCCACGAGAATCCACCGCTTCTATAAGAATGGGATGCCGTTAATTTCACTCTTGCTAATACCCGTTTTGATTATTTACTCGCTCATCTTCCTCGTGCGGATCATCATGAGGAGGAGGCAAAAGTTTGAGGAGGAGCTCGAAGATTGGGAAACAGAATCCGGAAAGAGCCGTATGAAGTTCAAGGACTTGTACTATGCCACCAAAGGGTTCAAGGAGAAGGATCTTCTCGGATCTGGTGGTTTTGGAAGCGTTTACAGAGGTGTCCTGCCAAAGACAAAGAAAGAGATAGCTGTGAAAAGAGTCTCCAACAAATCTCGACAAGGGTTAAAAGAGTTTGTGTCTGAGATCGTGAGTATCGGTCGGATGAGTCACCGGAACTTAGTCCCTCTCCTGGGTTATTGCCGCAGAAGAGACGAGCTTCTTCTGGTGTACGACTACATGCCTAATGGAAGTTTAGACAAGTATTTGTATAATAGTGATCCGGAGGTAACCCTTGACTGGAAACAGAGGATTAAAGTCATTAAAGGCGTGGCCTCGGCCTTATTCTACCTTCACGAGGAATGGGAACAAGTGGTCATTCACCGTGACGTCAAATCCAGCAACGTTTTGTTAGACGCTGAGCACAATGGGAGACTCGGGGATTTCGGTTTAGCTCGATTGTGCGGTCACGGGTCGGACCCTCAAACCACGGGTGTAGCTGGAACATGGGGTTACCTAGCCCCCGATCACTTCAGGACAGGAAGGGCCACTACCGCTTTAGATATTTTTGCTTTTGGGGTGCTCCTTCTAGAAATAACATGCGGTAGACGTCCTATCGAGATTCAGAACGAGAGTGCTGAGAGGGTCTTGCTCGTTGATTGGGTTTTTGGGATTTGGATAGAAGGAAACATCTTAGATGCTAAGGATCCAAATCTCGGGACAGAATATGACCAACTAGAGGTTGAAATGATCTTGAAGCTAGGTTTGTTATGCTCTCACTCCAACCCACAAGCAAGACCAACTATGAGACAAGTGTTACATTATCTAAGCGGAGATGCAGTGCTACCAGATTTGTCACCATTAGAATTTCGTGGGCTGGGAATCCACCACAGAATTGGTGAGCTAGACATGTTTACATGTGGATCTTCGATGGTTGATTCTATACTCTCCGGTGGGAGGTGATTTTGAATATCAGAATGCTTGTGTCTTAAATTACAGACTGTAGAAAGTACTATCCGCATGAGATATGGGACCGTGTTGTAGCTTTACGTGAAATAAATGAAATTACTCTTGCATTCATTGTAGAGGTGGTTGATAGCTGGTTGAATGGACGCTTGAGTTGAAAAGAGAAATTTGCATGTTTGTCAAATGGGATATCTAGGTTCAAAGGAACATATCTAATAAATAGACACGTTTTGAATTGGTCCAAATCCAAATAAGAGAGTACTTATGTAACAAAACCAATGTTTTAAATAAAATCTTGCATCCCTCTCAAAAAGGTTGGCACCACACCAAAGATCCCCACGTAGAGTAATTGGACAATGACGATCAGTTCTAAGAACCTAAGAATTCATCTCAAACCAAGCAACAGAATAAACACACAGTATTCGATTATAGTGGATCGTACGTAATGGAAAAAAAAAAAAAAAATTGGTTCGAATACTCTAAAATTTTTATTTTCTTTGGGTTTTTCCATGACCCTTGAATTTCATCAGATTCAATTCCTACTATTCGTTTTTTACAAAAAAAAAAAACAATTCCTACTATTCGAAGAAATTTTAGAGTCAAGTGGATAAATACAAAATTCCCTCAAAACATTTAATTGCCAAACATCCTTATATGGATTAAAGAACAAAATAAAAATTCCACACACTTAACCAAACACCCTTATATGGATTAAAGAACAAAATAAAAATTCCACACTTAAAAATCTAAAATTTTATCAGAGATAACTATTTTTGGCTCAAAAATCTAAAATGTTATCAATGTTGTCAAAAGCAAAATCTGAAGAATAAACTAAGCAATCTTCTTACAATTTTTAGCATGAATGTCGTATCAAATCTCTCACACTAGAGAAATGGATCAAGATCTCAAGTAACAGATATCAATGAAGAAAATTTTGAGAATAATGGAGTTTGATCTTTTTCAACAAAAAGTCAAATCTCCCGAAATTCTAATAGTATCTTTACTACAAATCTGTCGAAAATGGTCACTTTGTTATGAATATTTTCACAATTACTTGTCGCAATACCTGATAAAATTCAAAACATTAATATGTGTCATCCTCTGTAGACATAAAGACTAAACCCCACCTTCAGCAGACATCAAACAATTATAGAACTTAATGAAGAAAACTTATACAAGTGATATTATCCATACGTGTCGTGTCACTTTTAATTTTACTAGATCATTTTTCGCGCTACACGCGGATAATTACTTTTATATTTTATTGTTGATTTTATGTTATATGGATATTATAGAATATAATTGTATTTTTCTATACTATTATTTAAGAAGTAAAATTGCTTAGTTATCATGTTCTCCATAAATTTAGGTAATTTTATTTATTTATCTTATTTTTAATATTTATCTATAATTTATTTATAAATAAAACGAATTTATATGAATATATCATATTTTAGAAAATAAAATAATCTTGTGAATTATGTTGTTATCTTGAAATATATTTTATATATAAACTTAAATTTTAAATAAAGATATAAAAATTATTATATTTATTATATAAATAAAATGAATTTATATTAATAATTTTATATTTTTCTAAAATAAGATAATTCTTATGTATCATATAGTTACGTTGAAAATATATTTTGTATTATAAAACTTTAAATTAAAATATAAAAGTTATATTATTAATAAATAAATATAAATCATCAAAACAATTATTTGATCATTTATCAGAATTTCTCTAATTTTGTTTATTATTGATTATAAAATTAAAACTAATTTGTATTAATAATATGATATTTTATAAAATAAGTTAATGTTTTCAATTGCGATGGAATTGTTTTTTTAATCAAAAAATTCTCAATAATGTAAAAGTATACTGTCTCTTGGTTAGACTAAAAAATCCAAACGAGATTATTCTTATGTATTATGATGTATCTTGAAAATATATTTTTCTATTATAAAATTTAAAATTCTTATACTATTATTTAAGAAATTAATTTGATGTTTGTTGATTTGTCATATTTTCCATGATTTTAAGTAATTTTAATAATTTATCATAATTTCTATAACTTTATATATAATTTATTATATATTTAAAACAAATTTATATTAGTAGTATCAAATTTTAGAAAATAAAATACTTCTTATGTATCATGTTGTTGTCTTGAAAATATAGTTTTCTATTAGAAATTTAAAATTAAGATACAAAAATTTTAGTTGTTCTATAATTGAAATAAACTTACACTAATAATAATTTACTTTTATAAAATAAGGTAATTCTTATGTATTATGTTTTTATCTTGAAAATATATTTTTATATTATATAATTTAAAAGTAAAATATAAAAATTATCTATTATTAGTTAATTAAATATAAATCATTACTCAAGAGAAAATATGTAAGAACTGAATTTGCTGATTTATTAAGTTCTCCATGATTTTAGGTAATTTTAATTATATGTAATAATTTCTATATTCTTATATAATTATTATATAAATAACACAAATTTATCATATTATATTTTTAGAAAATAAACAACTTATGCATTATATTGTTATTTTGAAAATATGTTTTCTACTGTAAAATGTAAAATTAAGATATAAAAAATACAATCAAATATAAATTAAGGAAAAAAATTTGTATAAATATTATAATTAAATATAAATCAAGCAAAATAATTATAGAAATATATACTTTTAAATATTTCCTATGTTTGAGTTTTGTCATTGATAATTATTTGATGTTTCATTTGTACTTTTTAAAAACATAAATAATAATTTATTATGTTGGTTTTTAAATTAATGAAACATCAGCTAATAAATATTTATAAAAGCATTATGCCTGCAAGTGCGGGCAAAACACCTAGTAAACTATTAAAACTGTAGACTATAGTATAAAGAAGAGTATCTCTGATTTATGTTGTTTGAATGTTGTATCTAGTTTTATTTCTACTTATGTTCTTATGATAAAATAATTTATTAGTTTGTCAAAATAGAAAAACTAATTTTTTATTTAAATACTTATGTTCTTATGTTATCTAAGTAAGAGTTACTGCACAGAAAATTTTATAATATATAATATTAGAGAACATATTATCGGTTTTGAATAAGTATCAGTGATTATAAAGTTCTATATATTTTAAATATAGTAGATAATGCTTGAAATGAGTTGTTATGTGGAGCTATATATCGCATACATATTTTGAAGTATAATAAAAAATTGATTTGTTTGTGAGAATTCCAATCCACGGTTGAAAGTACATAAACATTTGAAGGTGTTGAATTTTTTTCTTTAAATTTATTGGTAGCTTATTCTTAGTTGCAGAGGAGACATCAAGAAACAGAAAATACTTAACCCACCAAATTAAGAAACAGAACAGACTTGCTCAGTTTTGTTGAAAAAAAGAACAGTTTTGCTCAGTTAAACAGAACACACTTAACTCACTAAATTAAGAAACAGAACTTGCTCAGTTAAACATGACACACTTAACCCACCAAATCAAGAAACAGAACGCACTTAACCTAAGGACATCAAGAAACAAAACACACTTAACCCACCAAATAAAGAAACATAACACACTTAAACCCACCAAATCAAAAAAACAGAACACACTTTACTCAATTAAACTGAACACTATACATCACCTTAAAGTTATAGACTTTTAAATACCTCAATCTTGCTTCCATCGGGGATGTTCTGAAAGGAAGGCACCAATTCAACAATGTGATAAAACTAACAGAGAGAAGAACTTCTATTTCTCTTATCCACATGGTTTTCTTCTCACTATGTAACGGCTTTAGCCTCTATTGTTGCCCCAGAATCGCAGCTTCATATTGAAAATCAAACTCAGAACCATGTATGAATGTTAATATCACATAAACATTCAAAGCTAAAGTTAAGTACCATAGAGATTGGTAATAGCGTTTGAGATGGCTAAAGCAGGACAAACTCCTTCACCAGAACTTGACATGTCTTCACCAAGCAGCAACTTTGCCATCCTCTCTTTCAACAACTCAACTTCTACAAAAAGAAAACAACAAAAAGTGTAAAAACTTTGTCGTCTGTGAAACAGAGATTGATTTTAACAAACCTGGAGTCTCTGTTCCTATTCTCTTAAACCCAAAGGTCTCAACTTTGGTCAGAGTTTTCGTCATCATCTTCTTCCTTGAACTCTTCCTCCACGATCCTTGCCCTAACGGCCATCCAAGGAGCTAAGATTTCGTCGGAGGAGATGACAACAAATATACAGATCTCTTGGAGCTCGATCCAGCACCGCAGCTAGAGCTGCTAAGGCTTGAATCGGTTATTGACTTGATCACTGAGTAAATAGCAATTCTTTTGCTCTCACCGTAACGTTTAGATCCTTCAAACCCAATGCAGCTATCCTCCATTTTTAGCAACAAAGATCCAAAAAGTGATGGAAAAAGTATATTACTCTATCACCAGGACTTGTTGAAACTACTGCATTCTCCATATAAATACAACAGACATATTTTTTGACTGATTGCTTGATTTATCTCAACCACAGTATTAGGATAATCTCTAAGATCATCCTTATCTATAAGCTTATTTCCTTATTACTGTTGTATTAGCTTTCCTTGTACTCTTAGGACTTGATTCTTAAGGCTTGTATATATAGAGACCTTTAGGTCATGAATGAATAACATAGAACTTTATATCGAATACATATCTTCTCATGGTATCAGAGCTACGACTTTAAGAAATCAAATCTCTGACCGCGAAGAACGACCTACGCTTCTAGAAAACCGAACTAAGCTTCTATCAAGCACCGACTCTCTACTTAATTCTCGACGATGACAGACATAACTACAACAACGACAGCACCAACAAAACCAAACCGACGAACGATCTCTCCTTATGACTTGACAGCTAATGATAACCCTGGAGCGGTTATCTCTCAGCCCTTGCTAAACAGGAGAAACTATGATGAATGGGCACAGAACTTTCGTGTTGCATTAAGTGCACGTAAGAAATTTGCCTTCATCGACGGAACAATACCAAAACCATCGACAGATTCACCTGATTTTGAAGACTGGACCGCCAACAACCATCTTCTTGTTACGTGGATCAAACAGACTATCGTACCAAAACTTCGATCAAACATATCTCATAAAGAAAACGCTAAAGACCTATGGGAACATATCAAGAAACGATTTGCTCTCAAGAGTGGGGCACGTTATCAACAACTTCGTACCTCTCTTGCAAATTGTCGACAAGTAGGATCTTCTGTAGAAGATTATTTTGGAAAACTCACGAAGATATGGGATTCAATGGCTGAATGTCTGTCAACTAAAACCTGCAACTGTGGAAAGTGTGATTGCAACTTAGTTAACGCTCATGAAACAGAGCGTGAAATCATTCGCGTTCACGACTTCCTCTTTGGCTTAGATGACATTCATGGACCGGTACGATCTCAGATATGCGCACAAATTCCACTACCTGATCTCGACACAGTCTATCAAACAATTGTGCAAAACGAAACCGTTCAACTTAACTCCAAAACTGAAACTCCAGCAGCATTAAATTTTGCAGGACAAGCAACATCAGAGAAAAGTCGATCTACCACGACACCAAGACAGAACAACAACAAGTTTCAACGACCTCCAAATCCAGATGCAAATACAACGTGTACTGCTTGTGGAAGACTAGGACATCGAGCTACCTCTTGTTTTCGTGTGATTGGGTTCCCAGAATGGTGGGGAACAAGACCACAAAACCGTCAAGGAGGACAAGCAACTACACAGCCTTCTCAAGCAACACACGCAAATACAACTCAACTCGTTGATTCGAAGAAAGAAATTACTGCAAATCTATCATTAACTGATAATGATCGACAAGGCTTATCAGGTTTCTCTGACGCACAATGGAAGACACTAGTGAAACTACTCAACCCGACTAAAACTACCACAGATGAAAACCGCCTCAGTGGACCGCACCACGAGGACACTGATTGGAGCGGGTGAACGAAAGGGCGAGGGACTGTATTTATTCCGAGGTTTAGAGACTGCAACTGCTTTCACTACAACGACAAGTAATGAAGGTGTTTTGTGGCATCAACGCCTCGGTCATCCATCTCCTCGTATTGTTAATTTGATTCCCAGTGTTAAACTTAAGTCTACTAGTCTTGCGTTTTGCTCATCTAATTGTGATGTTTGTTTACGGTCAAAACAAACAAGAAATTATTTTCCTGATAGTTATAATAAAGCCTCTTGTTCTTTTGAACTGATTCAATGCGATCTCTGGGGACCATACCGCACATCGGCATTCTGTGGCTCCAGATATTTTTTAACTATAGTAGATGACTATTCAAGAGCAGTATGGCTTTATCTTCTCCCTGATAAAAATGACGTCGCCAAAAGACTGAAAGAATTTTTTGCCCTCGTTACAAGACAATTCAACAAAAACGTCAAGATACTTCGAAGCGATAACGGCACTGAATTTATGTGCTTGACTAAGTATCTCCGAGAACAAGGCATCACTCATGAAACCTCCTGCATAGGCACCCCACAACAAAACGGTCGTGTTGAACGAAAGCACCGACACATTCTGAATGTAGCACGAGCATTACGTTTTCAAGCCGGTCTACCGATCGAATTTTGGGCTGAATGCGCCCTAACAGCCTGTTATTTAATTAACCGCACACCATCAAAAGTGTTGAAAGACAAGACTCCGTTTGAGATGCTTTACAACAGACAACCATCATTCGACCAACTTCGCGTTTTCGGATGTTTATGCTATGCACATAACCAGCATCACAATGGCGATAAATTTGCTTCACGGAGCCGGCGATGTATATTTCTAGGCTATCCTTATGGCAAGAAAGGATGGCGACTCTATGACTTGGAGAAAGAAGAGTGTTTCACATCAAGGGATGTTATGTTTCAAGAAACTGTATTTCCTTACTTGGAAAGAAAACTAGTAACAACAACTCCGATTACTCAAGTGGACACGCCTTTCTCCATTGATTCCGATGATGAGCTTGAAACACAAACATCACCTCCGACTGATATTCCACCGACCGATATACTTCCGGCTGATATACCCTCGACATCGTCTGCTCCGTCTACGTCAATTGACACCTCAACCACAACAGCATTAGGACGGGGTTTACGAACGAAGACTCCATCTACTCGTCTTACAGATTTCGTCATAAATACAGTCTCTCTTACCCCTCTCGCCGCACTCACTTCATCACAGTCCTCAGTTATTTAGCAGCTCTATCAACTGTTGCTGAGCCTCGATCATACAAAGAAGCAGTGCTCCACGACGTCTGGAAACAGGCAATGCGGTTAGAGATTGATGCCTTAGAGTTAAACAAGACTTGGGATCTTGTCAAACTACCTCCAGGGAAGACTGCACTTGGTTGTAAGTGGGTCTTTCGAATCAAACTCAAATCTGACGGATCACTTGAACGATATAAAGCTAGATTGGTTGTTCTTGGAAACAACCAAGTAGAAGGAATTGATTATGGAGAAACTTTTGCACCTGTTGCAAAAATGACTACCGTTCGGATATTTCTTGATATTGCTGCGAAACAGAACTACATCGTCGATCAAATGGACGTTCACAATGCTTTTCTTCATGGCGATTTAGACGAAGAAGTTTATATGAAACTTCCACCGGGCTTTCAGTCTGATTCTGACAACAGAGTATGTCTACTTCGAAAATCTCTTTACGGACTGCGACAAGCACCTCGGTGCTGGTTTGCCAAGCTTACTTATGCTCTGTGTGCGTTCGGTTTCATTCAATCTCGTAGTGACTACTCGTTCTTTGTATTAACGAAGAACGGATCTATCTTAAGAGTCCTCGTCTACGTTGATGATCTCGTTATTGCTGGAAACTCTTCCTCTGCAATTTCCGACTTCAAGACTTATTTATCCGCTTTCTTTCACATGAAAGACTTGGGGACTCTCAAATACTTTCTAGGCCTTGAGGTTGCTCGAAGCATTGAAGGATTCTATTTATGTCAACGGAAATACTGTACGGATATCGTTAATGAAGTTGGCATGCTTGCTTGCAAACCAGCTGGGTTTCCAATGGATCAAAAGCACGGTCTTGCTTTAACTAAGACTACTCCTCTTCTTGACCCAGCACGATACAGACGTCTTGTTGGACGCCTAGTTTATCTCTCTGCAACGAGACCTGACCTAACATACTCGATTCATATTCTTACACAGTTCATGCAGACACCACATGATCATCACTGGGAAGCTGTTCTACATGTTATACGTTATCTCAAAGGCACACTAGGCCAAGGCATTATGTTACGAGCAGCTCCTCCTCTTCATCTTACTGGATGGTCAGACTCGGATTGGGAAGGTTGTCCATTAACTCGCCGGTCTCTAACTGGATGGATCGTTCAACTTGGTTCTTCTGTTATCTCTTGGAAAACAAAGAAACAAGATACAATGGCTTTGTCGTCTACAAAAGCAGAATATAGAGCGATGACTGAACTTGTTCGAGAACTCAAATGGATCAAGGGCCTCCTCAACGACTTTGGTATTCAGCACACTCGACCTATAACACTAATGTGTGATAATCAATCAGCTATCTACTTAACCCGAAATCCGGTGTTTCATGAAAGAACAAAGCACATCGAAGCCGAATGTCATTTCATTCGAGATCATATTATTGACGGCACAATAACAACTAAACACGTTGTCTCCAAAGACCAACTAGCAGATATACTTACAAAAGCCCAAGGAAGAAAGGAGTTTGATATATTTCTTTACAAGTTGGGCATTCGAAACCTATATGCTCCAACTTGAGGGGGGGTATTAGGATAATCTCTAAGATCATCCTTATCTATAAGCTTATTTCCTTATTACTGTTGTATTAGCTTTCCTTGTACTCTTAGGACTTGATTCTTATGGCTTGTATATATAGAGACCTTTAGGTCATGAATGAATAACATAGAAATTTATATCGAATACATATCTTCTCACACATCATGACAAAGAAAAAATAAGAAGTATCTCAGCATTGATGCGAGGGCAGTTCTTGTAGTCCTAAATCCAGCTTAAGAGTATAATATGAATTTGTTTACAGAGTGTTACCATATGTCCTGAACCCTGAAGAACAACTTGAAGATTTCCGAACATTGCACACACAAAGTATAATGCCTTTGCCTCTGGTG